CTGGACTAGGTATTGGGGCAAACGCCGATATCTCCATATCTTCACAAACAATACTCTTAGACGTACGTTCTTCTATCTTGGCTTGTATCCGACCATATTTCAAGATCTTTGTTTATTTAACTTCTCAAACATGTGAAGTATCGTTGAATCTCTAGGTATGCAAACACCATAACGTTGTCTATGGCCTCCGAGGTGTGAGAGAGCCACGCTGAGAGCAATGATGACATTGGCAGGGCATCTGCGTACAGTGAAGTGATGTGAGAGAGACATAGATCAACCATGAGAGGTCAGGCAAGAGTCAGCAGCATCACAGTATCCCCGAACATGATTTTAAGCCGACGGGCTGTCTCGAGACCGATACAACACTTAAATGTACCGTTAACACACATTCTGGACCTGAATAGCTTCTCTTGTTCTGTGGATGTAGTTTCTGCACAGTGGTCAGTAAATAATTTTATGTTGGTTAACTAAACTAGTGGGATATTACTGCTGGCGTATGCTGGCTGGAGTAGCAGAGGTCCAGGGTGCCGTTCCACTAACCGATCTTACCTAAGATCAATCTTAGCAAGTTACGCCAATTTTACAATCGTCTTAGCTAAAAGTTACACCCGTTCCACTACCCGATCTTAGGCCGATCGTAGCCGGTCCCGATCTTACGATCCGATTCAAGCTTAGATCGAGACTCTTTCTTGCGAGAGATAGAGGAATGCGAGGCACGAGTTATCTCCCTTTGCATAGTCTAGCCAATGATGGAAGTAGTTTACGAACCAACTGAGTGAGTGAGTGAGTTTAGATTTACGCCGCACTCAGCAATAGTCCAGCTATATGGCGGCGGTCTGTAAATAATCTAGCTAACATGCATAGCGTTCACTAACATGAGCGTTCATGTTAGTGAACGCTATGTATCTTAGCTATAAATAATCGAGTCTGGACCAGACAATCCAGTGATCAACAGCATGAGCATCAATCTGCGCAGTTGGGAACCGATGACATGTGTCAACCAAGTCAGCGAGCCTGACCACCCGATCCCGTTAGTGGCCTCTTACGACAAGCATGGGTTATTGAATTCAATATTCTAACCCGGGCCTTCATGGGTATTTTTCCAACCAAGTGTAAACGTGGAGAAAAAAACTAGAGCAAAATATTAGGGTAGTGAGCACCTTGGTTTCAGGTGCATGTGCGTGTGAACGCTGGGTATCAGGCATAATATAATAATAATAAATGCATATTTATAGTGCGCCAATTCCACATCCTGGGGCATGCTCAAAGCGCTATGTACAGATAATTTACACGAGAGTATTTACAGCCGAGGTTATAAGTAATATACTGAGAACAGGTTTTAAGTCTGGACTTTAAAAATGTCAATTGTGTCAGAGCTTTTAATATGTGCCTGAACCTTGTCAATCAGAATAAACAAGGCGTGAGGAGGCATCCTCTATAACGTATGTAGAATTTGTCAGTGGTCTTGAATAACAGGCGGCCTGCCTTTAGAATCCCCCACCAAATAAGCGCACGTGAAATCAAACATATTTGTATCTTTTTGTTTCAGAACATTGTTCACTTCACGGCTGTCCCTATTCTTAACCATGACTTTGCAATATTGTTGTACAAATGTGTTACACCGACTCGCTCGGCTGTGTTCCCATGACGACAGTGGTCAGACTGGCCTGACATTTGTAAGGTTTCAGTGCAGTGTTTGTTTACATCACAGAAATATACAAATTCATTTCATGGGGGATTTTAGGGGACGCTCACGGTGAAATACTCACTCTTATTTTTCACATAGAATAGAAAAGCCACCATTTTGGTTTCTCTTGATTTTAGCTATCCTAAGTTGGTCATGAGCAACTTAGACTTTGAATCTTAACTTTACGATTGACTTAGGTAAGATTGGTTAGTGGAACGGTATGCCGATCGTAACGTCACGCTAAGATTGGGATTTTAGGGGTTTACGATTGGCGTAGGGCTAAGATCGGTTAGTGGAACGGCACCCTGGTAGAGACTTGTCTAGCTGTGGCGGCAGGTTCATTCTGTTGCTTCAGAAATGATACGTCCTTAGCCCGACTGGCCCTGTTGAAGAATTTGCTGTGCAGAGTCGCCTCCCTTAGGTATGCCACGCGGATGTAATCACCGATTCGCCCGGACCATGACCCTTGGTTTGTCATCGGAACACTTATACTTATTGGTTCCCCAGCATGTTATGAGCAAAGTGACAATAACCCACACTGTACCTATAGGTATCTTCACTCAATTAACACTCAACTGTTCCATATGAATACAGCTATTCTGTCAATGCCCTCAAGGGCAGACAACTGAGACATTTCAGTGTACTAAGGCAGCATTATTAGTATCGACTTGTTCTGTGTAGTGTAAACTGCCAGTAAACATTCAGTTTGTCCTTCTTGGACTGCCCGTGGTAATAACTTGATAATGGTTACTGGAGTTCAGAGAATAATATATAGTAGCCAGTTTCAGATAATCTTTCAAGTATGAAATGTCTCTTGTTTGGGGGGTGAATTATTTTGCACTCATTCAATTTTTCCGAATACTATAGCAAATTGTTCGTCTAATTAGTGCTATTTGATCAAATATAAACACTCTTAAATCTCCCATGTGGGGGGCATTACGACAATTACAAATGAAGAATCGGTATAAAAGTTAGAAGTTACTTAAGGTTTAGAGGCAGAGGTTTTCCACCTAAATAATATCAGTTATATATAATATACTGAACATCATTGAAAACGCACCACTCATAAAAGTTCAGATTATTAAAAGCACGTGTAAGGAATTGATATTTTTTGAGTGGATAATAACAGATGGACGACTGACAAAAACAACAACGCAGAAAAGACGCTCATTCATTGAAATGTTCCACAGTCAGAAAGGATCAAACACACGTGGGGTCAAATCGAAAAGTCAATATCGCGTGTGACCGCCATTTGCATTGACACATGCAGCTCAACGTCTCCTCATTGAGTCAATAAGCGTCCGAATAGAGTTCTTGAGGATGGCATTCCACTTCTGCAGTAGTGCAGCCTCAAGTTCCCGGATGTTTCGCATCTGTTGTCACCACTAAAGACTTTGACCAATTTCGTCCCACAAGTGCTCCATGGGGGATACATCTGGCGACTGTGCTGGCCAACGAATAACCTGGATGTGTTGCTGGGCCAGATACTGCATGGAAAGTCTTGTTGTGTGTGCCCGTGCGTTGTCCTGTTGAAAAGTATGGACATCTTGGTGGTGATTGAAGACAGATACGATGTGATTCTGAAGAATCTGCACACGGCAATAAAGGGCATTAACTCTCCCTTGACAGACATGAAGGCGGTCCTGTGATTGTAATTTATTCCACCCCAGACCATGACACTCCCACCACCCAAAGGTCTGTCTGAACCACACACTCATCAGCATAACGTTCACCACGTCTACGCCAAACACGTAATCGGCCGTCAGCATTACGTAGATGAAGACGTGACTCGTCAGTGACTACCACACCATGCCATTGTTGTAACCTTACTGAAAATGCCTGCAAGCCCATTGTATACGCTCATTACGGTTTCTGTCAGTCAGAATTGGTCCAACGTAAGGACGTCGGGCATGGAGCCCTGTAGCGTGTAGACGGCGTCGCATGGAGTCAGTGCTGATGACCCCCATGTCAACCTTGAACTAGTGCAGCAGTCCTGGCAGTCGGCAGTGTTCAATCACTGATATGGACATGGTCAATATGGCAATCCTGATGGAGCGTCGTAACACGTTGTTGTCAAGGTCATTGAAGGTCACGGGTGCTGCCTGTCTACTGATGTCGTCTATGAAGCCTAACGATGGTGGAGTGGCCAAGTCCAAGTTGTAGAGCAATATCCCTGCTGCTAGTGCCAACCTGAATCATGCCTAGTGCACATTCTCTTTCGTGAGGTGTTAACCTCGGCATCTCTGTCCTCGTTTCACAATCGTTAGTGAAGCAATGACTGACTGACTGACTGAGTTTAGTTTTACGCCGCTGTTAGCAATATTCCAGCAATATCACGGCGGGGAACACCAGAAATGGGCTTAACACATTGTGCCCATGTGGGGAATCGAACCCGGGTCTTCGGCGTGAGTGAAGCAATGAGAATCGGTTCTCATACACCTGCTTTTAATGTCACAGTCAGTATGATTTCAGAATGAAATTCGTGCTTTTTTCATGGAGTGGCTGCATGTTGATGCATTTTGGAATTAAGAGTCATACTGTGGACAGGAATTTGTTTCTAAAGCATTGTTTCAACTGGACATGCCCTTCGACTTTCATGTTAGTTATATTCATTGATCATTGTCATGCTGAAATCCATCTTGATGAAAATATGGACAATTTTAGACTGGTGCAACAGGTCCAATATAAGCATCTATAACTTGAACTAGAACAGTATCTCCCTTGCAGGAACAACGATAAGCACAAAAAACATCCACAAAAACACTTTTTGGCATTTTGGTTCTACCCAGCTCTGTTGATAACATTTTTAAGATTAATGAATTCTGTGGTTTCCCTTTTGAAAACCCATTTTCTAAATTAAGTTTGTAGCCACTTCTGTACCCAAGTATGGTAATGGACATACAATGTATTATGAAGCTGGCTCATAACTTTGTTCTCATCATGTGTACTACATCATATCTAACTGAAAACCAAAATCATATCCATGTGTACATGACTCCACAGGGTTCCACTTTAACATAAGTCCATGCACTCACACTTTATCAGACCTGTACATAATTGAGGCTGGGCCACACAGCGGTTGATAGCATGAACAATGTTATAAGTCTACTACTCACAGCCATAAAACCAGTCAAAGAGTCTTACCATATTAGGATGAGTGATACCTCAACAAATAAGAAACCCTGTTTCTCTTTAAAACAGACTGTCCCCATGACAAAACTCACCTCAGAGATTAAAAAAAGCCAAAACTGTAAGATGCAGGCAGGTATCTTCCTGGTATTTCTTTGTATTCAGAGAATTACAGAAGTCATCACAGGTTTATCCTGTTTATTTCACACATGAATTCTAGGTATGTGATGTGTCCACATGGCAGTTGTCTCGAAAGAGAACCCTGTGTGTGTCTGCTGACCATCTAGTAACATCTAGTAAGGTATTACAATACAAAACTGTATCTTCCTTGATGTCCTGAACACTTGGGAGGATGGAGTAGAGAGGCTCACACACAAGATAATGTGGCCTCCCACCATCTGGACTTCACATAACTCACACGTTCTTGTGGGATTAGATACCAGCATCAGACAGCAACTAATACACTTGTCAGAGACAATAACGCTAACCTAAAAGGGCCATATATTCCTTTCACAACAAACAAAGCCAAGTGACATGCTGGAGCTGAAAAATCCAAAGATGGGAACACTACATCCTGATTGTGAGAAGAAGAATTTCAACACACAGATCTTGGTATCTTGACTAAGTAACACTGCTACCATTCCAGGCCATCAGACACCTAGTCCTTGGTGTCCTTGTATGACTTAAGGTAGATGGGTTTGGACTGCTCTATCTGCCGTTTCTGTGCCCTCATCCTTGCCCCACGTGGCGGTAATGTCTGTTGGGGAATGTTCACCTGTAATCCCACAAAACACTATTACATCTCTGAAAAAAGTGCCATGCTACTGTAGCTCACCTTGATGACTTGTCAGATGTTAAAACGTCAACAAAGACAGACACTTACCAATAGTTGCTGTCAGCATTGCCATTCAAATATTTTCTGCATGTACATGTATATACTTAGAACTAAAACCTGAGTGTCATAAAATCAGCATGACACACATGCCAGTCTAATAATTTCCTTTTACTATAATCAATTTACACTCCCCTTTGGATAAATGCTTAATGACAAGCAATTCAAAGAAAATGTTTGTAGTGAGATGTCATTCCAACTTTACATCACAATTAAATTACCGGTAAATTGATGAGATCAATGCACTGGTGTGATATTTGCTCCAGGCTACCTACCCTATTTTTGGATGGGCTGTCAAATAAGCATGAGTCTTCTGCCATTTGACACACTCTACCATCATCACAATGTAATTGGATAACAGCACACACAGAGGTTCACTTACTAAGGAAAGACTAGATACTGTGAGATAATTTTTCTTTGAAATCTTTTACATAAATACAAATTAATGGAACATGTATTTTATCTTTTGATGTATTCCACTGAATACTTGTTGACCACCTTTGGCTGGAGACATTTCCTTGCACTGTGTTTGCTAGTTTGTGGTTTAATGCTGTACACAGCCATATTCCAGCTATATGACTGGCCTGTAAATGATTGAGTCGGAACCAGACAATCCTGTTACCGACATCATGAATAACGATCCACACTGTCCTGGTACAAATGACAATCAAGCAAGTCACTGAGAGTGATAACAATCCTCTAATTTGCCTCATAGGTTGCATGGGACATGCTGTATTCCAGAATCCAAGCAGCTTGTGTGATGTACTTACTAGTGGTGGTCCGATTAATTGAAATAATCGAAGATTGGTCGCAGTGACTAAACGACCAAGCAATCATGTTTTCTCATAATCGAACACAAACAATTCTAGAGCACTTGTTTTTATTAACAGTATTTTTCACTAGGTTGGTTTTGTCTGTTACATTTCATAAGCACTACAAGCTCGTTCCCAGTCATGATTGAATTTATCTTAAAGACTCTAAGAAATTTATGTTCCTCCATACTAGTCATCCTTTAAAGATGTGAAATTTTGCCAAACCCCCACAAAGAACTACATGTTTTTTTCCTTATTTTTGTGCATTAACACATTTCATAAATGACGCTAACCAATTATTTTCGATGATTGATCGGTTGTAATGAACCAATCATCAATTATGAGATTTTAACCAATTCCCAACACTAGTACTTACTGGACGTGGATAGGGAACCCTGTAGTGAAGAGCTGAAACATACACAAACAGATGTCGCTGAAAGTCCTGCAATAACATAGTTTGTCCTCAAACAAAACTGGGGACGTATTCCACCCCTGATTCTAATTAGGGAGAGAAACCTTGGGTACTGCCCTGTGCCAGAATCACCAGAATGATATCAAAACATGCATATTAAAGTAAGTCCCTAGCCTAAGCAGGAACATTTTCAATATATCTGGGGCAGGACCAATGCTCTACAATGTATGGGCAATAAAGTTCCCTCAATGTCTATCTCAGCTACCAGAGTTGCCTGTTTGTTGCATACTGCTTGGGACCACAAGCCACTGCAGCACTGGGTTTATTTTTTATTTCTGCACTCATGAATATTCCGGCTATATGACATATAACTTAATTTGCATATAATGAAATTGATTCATGATTACATGATCTTAATTCTAAAGCATGTACCCAGAAGAAGAATCAGGGCGGCGTGATAGCCAAGTGGTTAAAGTGTTCACCACGCCGAAGATCTGTGTTTGATTCCCCACATGGGTACAAATACTACAATGTGTGAAGCCCATTTCTGGTGTCCCCAACCGAGATATTGCTTGAATATTGCTAAAATTGGCGTAAACTAAACTCACTCACTGAAGAATCAGTTGATTTGGGGAATATTACTTGTAGTTCTTACATGTTACAAGAGTTTAAAGTTATGTAGACCATGGAGTAATCAATACCCACCTAGTTCTATCCTTGTCTCCGCTTCTCGCACAAATTCGTTTATTTCTTTTTCATCTGTCACCTGTTTGAACAGACACACTTATGGTCAATAGGCCAGGTCATTTGGGGACAGTAAGGACATGAGGCAGCGACAATCCATCCTCACAGATATCATGTCAGAACTTTTGACAAGAAAACACATCATAATGAGGAGTCTGTACTCGTTAGTCCGGTTCTCCAAACCATCTCAAAACGAAACGAGGAAGACATACACAAAATACCTCCATCATGGCACAACTTGTTTATAATTCAGTTTGACTGGTTAATATGGCTAATGTCATTTTGTACATTTTGTGAGCTATATGTTGCTCAGCAATATTACATTATTGTATTTGACATGGCTTGTAACAATCATGCAGTGTGTCCACTTTCTAAATGACATTTTGCATTCATAAACAAGTGTGTTGAGAACAAGGCAATGATCCACACCAACAGGGCACAATGGCATGCAATCATACTGTACAACAAGCCTGGTTCCAGGGGACCAATCCTAAACTTGAGTTCTCAAGAGTCAACTCTGGGGTCAAGTTATGAGGTGGTCAGTGAACAACCTTCATAAAGTTGAGCAACACTATGTAACATGTTATATTTGGGATTACACTTTCTCAGTGGGGGGGTTGAGTCCCATCTGGGATTCGAACCCACACCCTCAGAATCAGGCACCTAATCGCCAGCACACAAAGTCAGACACCTAGACTGCTCAGCCACCGCGGCTTCCACAAAAATGGAAGTTGGACATCTGGTAGTCTAGACTGAGGACTTTGTGTACCCCTCTGATAAGTGTTAATTGGCAAGGCTCCCACGGCCGAAAGCTATGAAATGCACAATCCATTTTAGAAAGTGGTCAAATGTAACATATGTTATATTTGGGATTTTCTCAGTGGGAGCTGTGCCAATTAGGATTGCGATTAGGTGCCTGACTCTGAGGGTGTGGGTTCGAATCCCGGATGGGACTCAACACCAAAAAGTACTAGAATCTGTACTTTACTGAGCAAGTGTAATCCCAAATATAACATATATTACATTTGACCACTTTCTAAAATGGCATTGTGCATTTCAACACTATGGCATGTCAACCACACACCACAGTGTCATTGGTGTGTCCCACTGACTACACCCACAAGCACTGGTATGGTATTTAGAATCAGCTCAATCAGGAACTTTGAACTGAATCGGCAGATCCTGGCAAAGTAAGGAAGACAACACTAAAATCAGTGGCCCACCTGGGACACTTATTAGCATGAAAGTGGCACACATAGTATCAATTTGTTAATTGTTTCATGTGCTTCCTATGATAATGAATATTAACATATATATTCTGAAAGATTTAGCTATGTTCATTTATCATGCCTCCATGTACAGATTTAACATAATTCCAAAATATGAGTCTGATATCTAGCTGGATGAGCTTTTACAATTCTATTTATATTTTTATACTATGTCTGATCGTATATTTCATATTGTAATGTACTATAGGCCTGTGGCCTTATTAAGAGCTGAAATAAAGATACAGAACATATATATTGACCTTGTCTTTGCCACAGGGGCTTGTAACGCTAAAAACTGCCATCAAGGTATATACTGTCACTGACGGGGTCTTAGTACTATAGACCGCCTCCGTGGTGTAGTGGTTAGAGCGTCCGCCCGGAGAGCGGGAGGTCGCGGGTTCGATCCCCGACCGCGTCATACCAAAAGACATTAAAATATGGTACTTGTTGGTTCCTGCCTGGCGTTCAGCATTAATGGGTACAACAAGGACTGGTCAGCTCGGGAGTCAGTATAATGTGTCTGAGTGGGGTATTCATGCTACACTGCGGCATGGTATCTCAGTGGGCTAGCACTATAAAACCAGCTTAAGTCTGGGCTAGTACAAGCAGCCGCACATACACATACACACGCACGCATGCACGTCGTCATATGAGCAAAATATTCTCAAGCACGACGTTAAACCCAATTTCACCTCACCTCTTAGTACTATATACAATGATCCTTTATATAGTACTAAGTGAGTGAGTGAGTTTGGTTTTACGCCGCTTTTAGCAATATTCCAGCAACATCACGGTGGGGGACACCAGAAATGGGCTTCACACAATGTACCCATGTGGGGATTCGAACCCGGGTCCTCGGCGTGACGAGCCGACGCTTTAACCACTAGGCTACCCCACCGCCCCATATAGTACTAAGACCCCCGTCAGTGACAGTATATACCTTGATGGCAGTTTTTAGTGTTACAAGCCCCAGTGGTCTTTGCAATTGCTGAACAAGCATGTGTTTTATGCATATCTTATCCTCAACCAGACACTTACAGTCTTGTTCTTCCTAAACAGCAGCCTTGCTTCAGTCCTGATGTAGTCTCTCTCTGTTTGGGTTTCCGCAGCAACTCCTGACTGTGACTCCCAGGTTCTAGACAGTCGCAGGATCTGTCGATACAGCGCCAACACATGCCCTCTGGTGGTCATCACAATCAACTTGGGTAAAACATTACAGATCTCCGATGATAAATATGTGCTGATTAAACTGAAGGTCCCACTGATTTACAAGTAACCTGCAAATGGAATCATTAAACAACATAAATGAGTTTACAAATACAATAAAATAATATGGACCAAAGAGTAAATATTCTTAACACAAGTCTCATCCTTTTACTTGTCAGCATCTATGAATATTCTGATACACTGTCATGACCGTGCTGGGCTATGGAATGAAAATGGCATACAAGTGTATCACACTGTTGAAATAAGACACCTTGACCAACTATGATATGGAACCAGAACCTTAACCTAGCATAGCATGGTACAGGGAGGCATTTCTGGCATTACCAAGATGTTATGGGTATAACTGGAAACGTTTTGTATAACTCTTTGGACATGTTTTCTGTCACATCACATCTTGCCACACTTGATGAGGGAAGAAAGCCTAAAGTGACACAGGTGTTATCGTTTATCACTGTGCTTGAAACCTTAGAAGCGTGGGCATGTAACAAAAACATGATCAGGGGGAACTGGGATTTGAACCCATGATCTTAGGGTTCAGGCACGCCTGATGGATGCAACACTACACAGAAGATCATTTCCCCAAAACTGTACATGAATAATATACATAATATATATATGTCAGTTCATAATCATATATGGTATGTGCTGTATCTATACTATAGTAGTCAATGGGGGCTAGCGTCATTTTAACTACAGAGTTGGAATTGGTTATCATTATGTATGTAAACCTAGTAATAATATTTCGTTTTTTCCATGCTCTAATTTTCTTACATATTCATCAGCTGACTAAGTGACTTGAACATTGTCTTGAAGCTGCTTTGACTCCTAGTCCTATATAGATCTAGTCTTTTGTGTTATTTAGGTGAGGCGACAATACTACACCTCTGAAGGCTAAATAGGATTTAATCTGAGCAATATTGTAAGGGAAATAAAATATAACGCGGTTACAAGCTAATATCTCAGTTTATACCAGTGAGTCTTCACCTCTCATGCCTCTCACATGTGAACACTTCTCGTCCGGAAGTTTACAATCCGGGTTTAATACAAAAACATGGAATGCAAGATCTCAAACGAACTATGAATAAATAGCTTATGTATTCTTTCATTGTATATCTAAGGCCTAAATCTATAGAATATGACTTTATATAATCTAATATATTTATAATTTATTTGTGATAATATTATTGTAAAGACAATGCTGTGGATATGTGTCATGGTAACTCTGTGACTGCGAACCTAGTCCTTCTTTTCATACTTTACGCTGACTGCTAGGTATACTTCCGGGTTCCAACTTCCGGAAAACATTGGTTGGGGTTTTCCAAAACTTTTTTTGTAGGTGTTTATCGGCCTGTTCCCGAAGTCATGAGCGACGGGAGATTAACAAATGGGTCGGTAGGACACCCACCTAGACTAGGAATGCAGGTGCGTATTGCCACAGGCTTCAAATCCCATTTTTGATCTGAAGCCTGATGCACCTTGACAGCGAGTATTATCCTCTTTCCTCTGCAAGAATTTGGGGGATGCAAATGTTGCAATGACCCGTGCTTTGAATAGTGTGCGAAATGTTATATGTGCTACATGTTTGTTCAATAGCTAAGGGGATGTGTTGTCACTCATGGCATGTTTAATTGTAACGACTGCCCTGTACTTACATCTGTATAGTTGGCCTAACTGTTTAGGGAGGGGCGGGTGTTTTAGAGTATCAAATGCTGGGATGTTAAGAAGTTAGCGTACATGTGTAATTAATTGCTCCCGTTTGCTTATTTCCAAAATCGTGTATCCCAAAACAAATTGATCCTAAGGAAAAATGGTTTGATGACAAAACAGTATTTAAAAGGGTGTTATTCAAGTTTCTCCTGAGTGCATTGTTAAAGTTAAAATCACCCACAGAATCATGGAGAGAATATAAACATTCATTGTTATTGTACTTGATGTAATCCAAAATTCAGTGAAATGTATGACAAAGACTTCTTATCAATAATCATGGATGATTATATTATGCTAAATTACTAGTATAAATAACAATATTGTGACTTGATCAATTCCGAATAAACCTGGATATATAGTCCCATGAACGTGTAAAGTCCTTAACAACAGACATGTTTTGGCCTATATGCAAAGAAGTAAATTGTCAGGCAACACCATCATACCCACCCATTTGTCTGGTGTCCAAGAATGATTGAACTGTATGATTAATAGCATTTAGGGCATGACAGTAAGTTAATCAGGAAGTTAAAATCAACTACACATGTTAAACTTAGGAAAAACATTTTGTAAGCCAAATAATATGAACCTGAAAGGCCAAATTGATAACAAACTAGTGGCAAGTACCTCATATTTATGCACCATCTTGCACCAAGTGCATTTTAATAATTTCATGATATCATGATACAGTGTTTATATATCCTGAAATAAGGATAGCGCTTATTGTATTATTTACAAAACTGTAAAGATAGTTAGCCATTTTAGACAATATGTAGGCCACAAGAAGAGGATGTTAGTGTTGCTATTGATTTGGACGCATGTCTTGGAAGAATGTGTATGTTCACCAGGATTACATGTGACCATACAAACACATTTTTGTCTGGTGCAAAAAAGTTATTACCTAAGGTTGCACTGGGTGCAAGTAGGTTTAAATTCCTTAAAATGAGCCCGGACTATAATGTGGAGTTTTTTTCCATATATTTCATCGTAAACATGATAACATCAAGTCATTGACGTATTAAAAGTTAATCCACTGTGTGCATGGTAAATGATCTTCGAATCTCAATATTAGCTGTAACTCTTCCTGGTATCATGGTTATGCCCCTTTTTTCAGGGTCACGCTCTGAGCTGGACAGATGACCTGCCAGTGTGCTATCTGTCTGGTGTTGGTTTCTCCACCAACCAGATTTACAGAGATGATGGCCACCGACGAGAGGAACATGAGTTTGAAGACAAGAGCTTCCATTTTAGGTTTGTATCTCATCAATGTTATCTGTATCATGTATATTTTTATAATTGCTGATGTGTGTTATTTTTTAGATGGGAATCCAAGTAAGACAATCATAATTAATAGCAGCGTAAAATGGCAGTGTCCTCAGAGCATACTATAGTGAAAGATATGTTTTAATAAAACGGAAATTCACAAAGCATGTTATGTTAATCTGTCATCGTATAGGAGTTGAGGAGGGAACAGGTCAAAATGGCCACACTGACCCTAGTCAAAATGGCCACACAAAAAATTCAAAATGGCCACAACCCCTAGTCAAATGGCCATACCAAAAAGTCAAAATGACCATAGAAAAAGTCAAAATGGCCATACATTATTTTTGTTTCATGTTTTTATCCTGTACTTTGAGGTGTTTTTTTCATGTAATACTTTGACAATGTGGAATGTGGTGGTGTGGAAGAAGTTGTTGATTTCGCTGAGAGAGACAAAGGGAGACAAAATGTTCTTGGCAACTCCAAAACATCGAAGTTTTCCAGTAGGGCTCAGTCTTAGACATCTTCTCTATGTTTCTGTTGTCTGCTGTCAGCATGATTTTCATCCATCAGATGTGTTTCTGTTGCAACTCAAAACTGCATTTGTCTTTGCAGACCTTTTGATGGCTGTTTTCTGTATGGCATGTTTGATGGCCACAGTGGAAGCAAGGCTGCTAACTTTGCTGCTCAGCGGATGCCAGCAGAGCTGTTGTTTGGGCAGCTTAACAACAAGACATCTGATGAAGCCATCTTAGGGGTTTTGCGCCAGGTTTGACTTAGTTTAACCCCCCTTAATTGCATACTAAAGACAAATTTGTAAATGTCAAACCTTCTCCTAAAAATGCCATCATACGAGTATTTACCAGTGTCTAGACTTTTCCCTTGCTTGTTATAGTGAGATAAATCTTGATGGACATGATAAATGATAATGATTTTATGATAAAATCATGACCATTTGAAAATATATGATGTGTAATCTGACGATAAGAGAGAACATATTATCATAGTAGGTTGAGATGTAATGTATCTTAATAATGAGTTTGTTTGCAATAGTTAAACAATAAAGGACAGGGCATCTCTTTCCTTCAACACTGTTCAGCCTCCAAAGTGCACCTTGTATCAATGGTTTATATCTGGACTCAGTCATCCTCTTTGAATGCTACAGTTTGACCATATATGAATAGCTCAGTTGTCCTGTGAAAATCAATGTGGTTACAGTGGCGAACCATTACAAGCTGTGTTTATTTTCTGCACCCTATATGTCCTCACTGTGTGTGTATCTGAGTTATAGGAGGTAACTTCTCAGGGAGTTGAGAATGGTGTGCACACTGAGTCATTGACTTGGGTAACAATAATGTAGCACCACTTGGAATGTGGAATTTGTTGTGTACTCTATCGACTTATTAAATCTACATGCTCATGACAATGGTATTTGTGCTTACAGGCCTTCCATGCTGTGGAGAAGGGGTATTTTGAAACTATTGATGATCTACTTGCTCAAAGAACAAACTGTATGCTGGAAATGCCCGATGTAAGTGACTTGGTGCTAGTCATATGTATAAAGTGTTATCACACATTGTCTGTGGTTCTAGTCATATGTATAAAGTGTTATCACACATTGTCTGTGGTGGTAGTCATATGTATAAAGTGTTATCACACATTGTCTGTGATCCTAGTCATATGTATAAAGTGTTATCACACATTGTCTGTGATCCTAGTCGTATAATGTATAAAGTGTTATCACACATTGTCTGTGGTGGTAGTCATATGTATAAAGTGTTATCACACATTGTCTGTGGTGGTAGTCATATGTATAAAGTGTTATCACACATTGTCTGTGGTGGTAGTCATATGTATAAAGTGTTATCACACATTGTCTGTATGTATAAAGTCACACATTGTCTGTGGTGGTAGTCATATGTATAAAGTGTTATCACACATTGTCTGTGGTGGTAGTCATATGTATAAAGTGTTATCACACATTGTCTGTGGTGGTAGTCATATGTGGTCTGTGGTGCTAGTCATATGTATAAAGTGTTATCACACATTGTCTGTGGTGGTAGTCATATGTATAAAGTGTTATCACACATTGTCTGTGGTGGTAGTCATATGTATAAAGTGTTATCACACATTGTCTGTGGTGCTAGTCATATGTATAAAGTGTTATCACACATTGTCTGTGGTGGTAGTCATATGTATAAAGTGTTATCACACATTGTCTGTGGTGGTAGTCATATGTATAAAGTGTTATCACACATTGTCTGTGGTGGTAGTCATATGTATAAAGTGTTATCACACATTGTCTGTGGTGGTAGTCATATGTATAAAGTGTTATCACACATTGTCTGTGGTGCTAGTCATATGTATAAAGTGTTATCACACATTGTCTGTGTACAATGACATACTTGTAGACATGTCACGCATTGTGTGCGATAACTCACTGTTTCTTTGCACATTATCTGTGTTGTCTGTCACGATGAAGCTGTGTTATTGAATGTCGAATGTGTTGGTGACTTGTTGCCTTTATGTATCTGTCTGTCTTCAGGGCATCACCCAGTACGATGCCTTCACAAAGTATCCCGACATTGTGAACAAGCTTCAGCAGTTGGATTTGGAAATAGCAGGGGGGACAACTGCGTCTGTTGTGCTTATCTACAATGAAAAGCTGTATGTGGCTAATGTTGGTAGGTGAAGTCTGTTTTTTTTTCTCACTGTTCAGTTGTTCATCTTCATTAATATATATATAGTCTCATATAGTTACTTGAGTGTTTCAGTCTTGTATTGTGAGGTCTGTTCTCATTGCTCACCTTTATAAATCCTCCATTTCGCAGCATGATGTGCAAAACAATTAGGTTTCACGAGGAAAAGGCTAAGACCTGTTACGTTAAACTGAGACTCTGAGCTGTAAGTGAAATACTGTTCAAAGTGGTGCGAACACCTTCCATGATGTAGTGGATAGGGCAGTGGTTTGATCCCCTGGTTACTTCAAACCAAAATATATTACAAGATGGTCCCAGTTGATACCCTGCCTGGCACCCGGTATTAAACCTTTAAAACAAGGACGGTCCATCTTGAAGACAATATACCTTCAGAGTGAAGCTTCCATGCTCAATAATGTGCCTGAGTGGAGTATCCATGTTAAACCATAGTATCTGAGTTTGCTGCAAGTATATAACTTGGCTAAGCCCAGACTGACACAAACATGCACATCACTATGTGAGTGAAAAATCATTTGACTTCTTCTCAGAGTGGAGTCATTCAAGAAAGCACTCACTTCTATGTTCAGGTGACTCACGAGTTCTGCTTGTGGTGAAGGAGGACAACCGTGTCCGTGTCAATCAACTCACGTACGACCACACCCTGAATGATGAATCGGAGCAACGCCGTCTCACCAAACTTGGTCTGGATGTGGAACGTCTGAAACAGCTCCGGAAGATTGGGAACTCTGACAACACGCGCTGTATTGGTGACTACCATGTGAAGGGCGGTTACAAGGACATCGATATTCTACGGTTGGAAAACATTTCCTATCAGTTGGTTTCTAATGTGTTTGGCCAAGAAATTAGAGTTGGTGGTGAAAACATAAGTAGCTAAAATATTTATAAATTTATATTTATAAATATTATTAGTAAAAGTTGCCATGACGGAGTCTCTGTGTTTTTGTTCATGTCTTTCTGTTCAAATCCAGACAATGTGGGTCTTTATATCAGTGACTGAATTGTCAGATCCTGACTTGATTATATACAGGCCTTCAGCATATACCTGGAATACAAAAGTATGTGTGGTTTTATAAAGAAAATAAAAACTCACACTGAATCACACAAATTCCTGACCTAATTATTGTTTTGTTTTCAGTAATGCAACAAGTGAGCCTGTGATAGCTGAGCCCCACCTGGAGGGAGGCGTGCCCCTGACTGGCAACACCAGCTTCCTCATCATCATGTCTGATGGGCTTTACCAGGCCTTGCAGGATGCCACGGGCACAGAGAAGGTGAATGTGGAGATCACCTACATGGTTCTCCAGGAGTTCGGGAACCAGTCCACACTGAACGGTGTGGCGCAGGCTGTTGTTGACAAAGTTGTCCGTATACACCATGACACATACATGACAGCACAAGGCTACAGGAAACAGCTATGCCAAAAGAGAGATGATATCACACTGTTAGTACGAAACTTTCACCAGCCTTTACGTAATGGAGTTGAAAGTCCAACTGCAGCAACACGATACAACCCTGTGCCTGTCTCTCTGCCCTCTTTCTTCAACTCCCCGCCCCCTGCAGCTGTCCCGAGTCTGAACATCCCCAGCCCAATTAGTCCCTCCAACAGCAACTACTCCCACTCCAACCTCTCCGTGGGCAGCTATAGTGACTCCCAGCCCCTCACCCCTACCAACAACCCTGGCAGTCAGTACCTCACCACGGAGACCACCATGGGCACGAGGACCAGCACCGGTACCAGCACAAACTCCACGCAGAGCTCCGGTGACGCTCGACCCTTCCAGCAGAGGTACCAGGCTCCAAAGCTGGAGCTTGATGAGAATGGCAGAGTGGAAGCTTATGTGGATTTCTCAGAGTTCTTCCGTGCCATTGAGAGGCTTACAGGTGACCAGCAAGCATCTTTTGAAGCAGACGTCAACCCCAAGTCCAGCTATGATCCCATCAGCGAGGAATCGGAGACTGCCACAGGACCAGAAGACTGAGAGGATGTGAATGATGTGTGCACGAACGAGAACAAGGTGTGACTACAGATAATCATTAGGATGAGTGCTACTGAATTATCAGGATTTCAGCAGTAGGTTTGCTGGACAACTACTCCGCATAACTTCTAACACTTTAATGGATCAACGTTTCTTCAATATCGCTCTCATTTTTCCACCATCTAGATCATGCCATTTATCTTATCTCCATTCTGTTATCAAAAGTACCCTGTACCCATTTACCAAATGCTGTCAATAAGCAAATAGAAAAATAGTGGTTATTTCACTTTTCAGCATCCTTGCAGAGAATGTCTCTCTCTCATGGATGTATTTTATATGGACGTGGCTTATTTCAAATCAAATGAAAAACAGTGGTAGCTAATGGCTCCAGGATATTATTGTTTACAGAAAGTTGATATAATCTAGATGATTGAGGATGATTTTCTTGCTGCCAGTCACTGTAACTTGGCTCAGAATAATATTTATTGGCATTTGTTCGATGGACCAGTGCATAATGGAACAGTTCATTGTGTAGTGGACCAGTGGTATAATGCATGTGCCTGTATGACGAGTGCAACCCTGTCAAGACCTGGAGACTGGATCCTGCTGGACCAGTGCAACCCTGTCAAAACCTGGAGACTGGATCCAGCTGGACCAGTGCAACCCTGTCAAGACCTGGAGACTGGATCCAGCTGGACCAGTGCAACCCTGTCAAGACCTGGAGACTGGATCCAGCTGGACCAGTGCAACCCTGTCAAGACCTGGAGACTGGATCCTGCTGGACCAGTGCAACCCTGTCAAGACCTGGAGACTGGATCCAGCTGGACCAGTGCAACCCTGTCAAAACCTGGAGACTGGATCCTGCTGGACCAGTGCAACCCTGTCAAGACCTGGAGACTGGATCCAGCTGGACCCGGGCAACCCTGTCAAGACCTGGAGACTGGATCCAGCTAGCAGGTCGTTCAGCCTGGTTGTCTCATGTCAGGAAGGTATCAATCAGGGATATGCTGTTGTCAGTACTAAGATGTTTTGGCAGTAAAACAGTAAATAATATAATGGTGTGCACAATAATGACATGTAAGGTGGGTTACGATGCTTTACCTCAGTACTAGAGTAGAACCACCAGCATAATGAGTATAAGGTTTTGGCAGCATCCTGCTACATGTTCCAGACTGAAGCATTCATTGTTAAGGATCCATTGTGGAGTGTCCACTGTAGAGAGTCAGTTGTGGAGCTTCCATTGTGGGGTATCCTATAGAGTGTCCAGATCACATGCACTGCTGTAAGGCAGATAATCAGCATGATGTATGTTGTGGAGAGTCCATTGTGGAGCATCCATTGTGGAGAGTCCATTGTGGAGCATCCATTGTGGAGCATCCATTGTGGAGAGTCCATTGTGGAGCATCCATTGTGGAGCATCCATTCAAGTGGAGAGTCCATTGTGGAGAGTCCATTGTGGAGAGTCCATTGTGGAGAGTCCATTGTAGAGCATCTATTGTGGAGCATCCATTGTGGAGTATCCATTGTGGAGAGTCCATTGTGGGTGGAGTCCATTGTGGAGCATCCATTGTGGAGAGTCGATTGTGGAACATCCATTGTGGAGAGTCCACTGTAGAGCATCCATTGTGGAGAGTCCATTGTGGAGCATCCATTGTGGAGAGTCGATTGTGGAACATCCATTGTGGAGAGTCGATTGTGGAGCATCGATTGTGGGGCATCGATTGTCCATATCACATGAACTGCTGTAAGGCAGATAATCAGCATGATGTATGTTACTGGTCATATACCAGATCCAGAGTTCCTGCTGTGAGTTGATGTGTGTGAGATCTGCTGCTTTAGTGTGGTGCTGTATGCGTATCATCAGCTTAGTAACTGCGTGTACAGTAGATGTGTATTGGTTTACACATATGCAAGTGATGAACAATATATTTTATTATCTAAAAACCAATTTTATACATTGTCTAAAGATATTAACGTTCATGTAACTGCCAGACTGACTTGAACATAGTGCATTTAGCAGTATGTTTAGATAGGTTTTGAAAAACAAATGTCTCATCCTGTTTTTTTACCCTGAATAACCAGACAACCGTAAACCATGACTTAAAAAACCATTTGGCCTTGAAGTTATAATGTGCATGTGTGGAAGTTCCACCTGACTGTAACAATAGCTGGCTGGGGTGAATGCCTTGTATGTATAGATGTGTCATCTGTGTCAAGATCTCAGTAAATCCGATCTATTACTCTGATGTCACTCTGAGATATGAAAACCCCTCACGAAAACTGTGTCAATTTGTGCCAAGGCTGCTGAATTCTGGGTTTATCAAGTTTCTGTGTCTCGTCTGCACAGACAGTCCTGAATGTAAAGAAAAGAGCCACACCATTATATTGTGGATATCTTAGACACTTTTGCTTCTTTCCATAAAAACAAATCAAAATTAGTACCATCAGAGCAGTGTTTGGGTTCACTGGTAAAACATAAATTTCTTAATTGAGGTGGTCATGGAAAGAAGCCATATCATATATAAAACCCAAGATCTAATTGGCTAAATAGCCATCACATCCTTCATTTTGAATCTGTTTTGAGGGCTCATAAAAACTTCTGTGGAGGTTTCCTGAGATCTCCACCTAGAGAGGTATCCTATGAGGAAAGAACATCTAATTATATTAAGATAGACTCTCACTGCTTTGTTCAGCTCTGCTTTGTAGGGGAGTAGAACAAGTGGTTGTCTGTCAGACCAAAAACCTGGTTTGTTTCCCCAAGCGGTGACAATATGTGATGCCCCTTTTGGGTGTCCCTGCTGTGATAGTGCTAACATCGTGTTAGAATATAGTGTAGATATGTAACTGTAATCAACTTGTATATAGATTTAATGTGTGTTTTATGTATGTAAATAGTGTAAATCACTTGTAAAGTCTATTTCCAGTGTCATTTCTTTGTAAGTGCAATTTTTAATAGACACTGTTAAGTATGAGGTAAATGACATTGTTGAGATTCAGTTTGTTTCTTGTAAAAACTATCACATATATAATCAAGCATGTCATTTAGAATATACACCATTGAACTTAACTGGTGACTTGTGTTTTGTGCTTGGAATCATTGGTATTTGGTAACATGATATATTTGGTAACATGATATATTTGGTAACATGATATATTTCGGATAACACTTTGCCAGTATGGTACAGAATCTAACACTTTGGGGTTTGAGTCCCAACCGGGTCAGTCAGCCACCGCGGCTTCCACAAATATGGACGTCTGAAAACTTGATCAGGTAGTTTGTGTACCCCTCTGATAAGTGAGTGGCATGGCTCCCATGGCAGAAGCTATGAATACACAGTGCTGATATAGTGTAATGCCAAATACAGCAGATTTTGAACAGGAGGATTTCTAGCTCGAACTTGGCGTCCAAAACATGTTCGATGGGGCCTTTTATCTGGACTCCTTGCAGGCCAGAGTAAGGTTTCGATGGCCTTCTGCAAATGGGCTCAAGGACGATGAGGTATAGAGTTTGTCATCAATGGATATCGGACCACTGGCAATTTGGTGGCTGTCAAACTGGCATGACGACGGTATCCAGTACTTCCTGTTGATAACATTGACCGCTTAGTGTCCCAGGTACTGTAATGACATCCAACTTGGAGTCATACGATACGAAACACAACCCCACACCGTCACTGAGCCACCACCCAAGGGTTCAGCTGCGTGGATCATCTCCGGGTGATATGTCTCGTTACAACGTCTCCATGCACCACGACGACCGTCGGTAGCGTGTGGAAGATAGCACCTTCCATGAGATCAATGAACCCTTCGCCATGTCCTCAAGTTGCTGTTTTCTCAGGGTCTGCACCACGTCAGACGTTCATGTCTGTGCCTGGCCCTCAGACCAGCATCCCACAGCTTCCTTCTGATGATAATGGTTTAGAGTCGGACTCCCACTCGACACTACCAGCTCAGTTCTTCGGCATGGGTCATGGGATTGCATCTTGCCAGAATAAGTAGGACTGGGCCATCATGCTCAGTGGTCTTCATCCGTTTTCCAGATCTTAGAGGACCGTTTGCTTCACCGGTGTCCATGTGCTTCATCGCAAGTTGACAAATAATTAATGTTCATGTTAGCAGCGATGCAGCAACAGGACAGCCCCCGCCCCAATAACTTGCCATCGTGTATTTTCTGAAAGTCAACGTCTTGCCTTGGTTGTCTTTTAAATCAGTCCAGAAACTGTAGTGCACATGCTACAATTATGAAATGTTTACGCCAATGTGATTGGTGCTCCTGAATTTGAAACCCACAGCTTTTGGGATATTGTGTGAAAAACCTGCTTTACATGTGCATTCCAGTATGACAGGGTATGAGCACCTGTTCGGACCGAACGTTTAAGAATTGCCATTGGATTCTTGTGGTGGATAATCAATGTACATATTGTCTTCAGCAACCCATGCTTGTCGTAAGAGGCGGTTGTCAGTCGATGCATGTCAATGTAGGTCAATTGCGTAGATCGGTTTTTGTGGTGCCAATCACTGGATTATCTGGTAGACAATATTATTTACAGAAGCCCGACAAATAGATAGAATATTGCTATATTACATTATATACAATATATCTATCCGTTACATGATGAGGCGATATATTATAAATTAAAGTATCCCGTATATATCGCTGAACAAAGTGCTATAACGTCCAGACTATGCCACATATATCTAGAGACAGTGATATATAGAGACTCCTAACAATGAATACAATACAATCTCATTAAAATCAGATTCGCTCTCGCTACAAGCCAGACAAAGATCTGAGGACATCCATTTCATTCGTGACCAACTCGTGTTATTCCGGGACAAGCCGAAGAGCGATCCTCTTACAGGTTACAGAAACCGGTGGAGTGGTGACGAATGCATCCATTCCGGATCACTTCGAACGACTCTTCATCCGGACAACCGGAATGTCGCACACCAGATCGGGACAGTGACTATCAGATTGTGTCTTCTAATCATTCCAACGTCGTAAAGGTTTACAAGGGGTTCTGTAAATAACGGCTGCGTACTGTATGTCTGATTCCCTCACAACCATCGTCTGTCTCTCGTTGTTGGATAAGCGTTTAAACGGACGAGGGGGAAGTACTACCATGCCATCCCATCGCATTCGTGGCCAGCTCGTGCTGTTCCGGTACAAGCCGGACGTGGGTGACGTTCAGACGGAAGTGGTCAGGAATGGGCGAAGAAACTGTAAGAGTCAGGAACGAATCGACATTCGATTTAGTGATTCTGAATGTGGACCAAGTCAAATGAATAATCAAATGAAACTACTGACTGACTGAGTTTAGTTTTACGCCGCTTTTAGCAATATTCCAGCAATATCACGGCGGGGAACACCAGAAATGGGCTTAACACATTGTGCCCATGTGGGGAATCGAACCCGGGTCTTCAGGGTGACGAGCCAACGCTTTAACCACTAGGCTACCCCACCGCCCTTACCGAAACTAAACGGCTAGAGAGTTAAGTACTGCGACTGCAGCATGGTTGTACCAAGTTGACAACAATGTAAGACCAGCCTATAAAACTTCACTACATTACTCTACACTTCACCACACTACACTACAACACTATACTTCACCACACTGCTCTACAACACTACACGTCACCACACTGCTCTACAACGCTATACATCACCACACTACACTACAACACTACACTTATATACCTATAGCGATAGGATTATCGCCGCTATCATAACACTATCTGACAATGACAATATTATCACCTCATTGAAAACACACCACGTGGTGCATGTTTGTTTAAGTCTCGAGTCACGTGATCGCACCTGGTTGGTTTGATCAGTTCATCATATCTGGGACATGATTGCCCGTCGTGTGCAACAAAGGGATCCTCCTGTACAGTACCTGGCCAAATTGGAAGCCGCTTGACACGAGGAATGGCGTAGACTGACCCTTCAGAGGATCAGGTGGCTGACAGGAGAATGCTGGCTTTCATACAGTCACATGGAGGTTACACTCGGTATTGACCTTGAATCGTGTAAGATGCGCAAAATGACATTTTGAATGTTCCCATTCACCAATAAATTCAACATTAAAACATTTCAGGGCCATACTTGTACAGACATGATTTTGTATTAAACTCGGTGTTTTTTAAATCAGCAATTATCATATTATTAAAAGCAACATGGATTCCGATCATTTTGTCGTTTTTTTAAGAGTCAAAGGATCATACGGGTAAAAAAAACCCGCATGTTTTTCCATCGTGGTCACCACGAGAAGATTTATGTACGTGTACATATCATTGCCAAAATACTGGTGGTGCTTAATGAAGTTCTTTGTGTATATCTTTAGGCAGCGATTTGAAGGCAGATCCCGTTCCGGTCCTAGCGAGTTAAGTCGTTACAATTTGAGTTGAAAGTCTGATATCTGAAACTTTATGCTGTAAATCAAGCAACCGTGAATGATTGCCAAAAAATAAATGTGAGACAACTTGTTTACATGTATATCGTCAATGTAAATATCTATTCTGGCACTAGCCAGCAGACTCTGCCTTTAACACATGGCTCCGAATTTGTAAGTTCAAATATACATCAATACAAATACACATAGTGAAATGGTCAGTTAAAGGACACTAAAGATACACACGACATTGTCAGCAACAGCTGAACATGAATCATTCGCAAAAATATTTGTTCATATTTTTTACATTTTTATATTTATCTTTTACTGACATAATTTTATGTCACCGTTCCCTGATGGCATGTATTGTTGCTCATGCTTTTATCCACTAGTTTGCCTGGTTCAGCCATGTGCTAATGATATTTCCATGGTATTCACACCCTCTTGATTGGTTTACTTATGCAACGAGAAGGATAAGCAGGCGACAAAAGTCTGAGTCTTTCAGACTTAACAGTCTGTCTAACCCTTTAAATGTATTCCTTGTCTGTGAAGACACAGCATTTTTGTTAATAGACATATTTTTCTAGGCTATTAAATGCTTTATATGTGACGGCTTCCAAGGCGTGGCCTTGAAATAAAAAGGTTATGCTTTACAGCTTAGTCACCACGAGTTGCTCCTCCATCTCTTGTACGCTTTACATTGTATAGTTCCTCATCAGAGGTTGCGTGGAAGAGATCACTGCACTTTCAGTTTCCTTCTCGGGAATTATCTTTAGCAAGATAATGACAATTTGTATTAGTGAATACTGTTTTGCGTTAAGATAATGTTATTGACCTAACACCCAGCTGGGTTTCAAATAACGAGATACTTCCTTACAGACAATAGTGCCATTGCCATCTTACAAACAGTTGCAGCTGATATGTGACCATTGAGTAGTGACAATAGCGACGTACGTCAGGTAACACTGATGGACATTGTCCAGGTCCAATACGAGCGTTATAGGTCGATACTGACGCTACACGGGACACGTGTTGCATCGGGTCAGTAATCACAATACATAGGGCGAACACTGGTATTTAATGACGGGCCAGACAACGTGTGACCCTCCTGTACTTAAATACAATACATAATTACAACAGACAAAGCAACATCTGTTCTACTCCCCTCAGCAGTTCACGTTGATATTAAAGAAGGATTAAGCCTGATACCAATGGCTAATGGTAAATTTGATTTATGTTATTCGAGTCTCATTAAAACCAAATCTTAGCTCTCGCTACCACGAGAGAAAGGTTTGAGGACATCACATTACAAGTCACATCCTAACAGAAGACCCAACCAACCTAATTTGTCGTTCAAAACTGGGGCGGTGGGGTAGCCTAGTGGTTAAAACGTTCGCTCGTCACGCCGAAGGCCCGAATCCCCACAATCATAGGTACAATTGTGAAGCCCATTTCTGGTGCCCCTCGTTGTGATATTACTGGAATATTGCTAAAGCGGCGTAAAACCACTCACTCGTTCAAACCCTCGTACAGACTCAATTCTATGACGTATACCAGTCTTGCAAATGCTAATCATTGCATCTCGATCTAGAGTGGACGTCCGCATTTAGCTGGATATACGGCTCTTCGTCTCTATTTCCTAAATATATACACGATCATTTCTAAAGAATCAA